ATCATATATGAGACAAGGAAGCAAGGATATTGTAACTCTACGCTATGTAAGGCTAGTTAGGGATTTCATTACTGATGCTGTTGACCCTATCCATTGCCGCAGTAAACTGATAGGGCTTGTGCATGTGTTCTGCATCTAAAATAAACTCATTGAGTTATTACACTTATAAATAGAGTATAAACAAAGCAATGTGGCATCGGGAGAAAGACGAAGATTGAGAACGACAAATGTGCCTCGAAATCGCGAATAATCTGAAGGTTTATGAATGATCCACTCTTTGAGTTGGTCGCTGACTCGTAAGATTTCGGGTCCGTAAGAAACGATAGAAATTGTCTGTTAATTTGGAATTGGCAAGCGGCGCGCTCATAGACTTGTTTGGATTTCTGTAACCGACTCTTAGTCATATCCAACGAATAGAGCAAATGTGAGGGTCATGTCGTATTAAATATTTCTAAAATATTAAGAAAAAATTGATTTATTCAATTAACTTATATGACTGAGGTTGAGAGAAGGTTGTTTTGCAAAGTCAGGTGCATTTCAACTTCTCATTTACTGTAGAACAGCTATTTTGCTTAGTTTCTTAAACGTCTCTCTACTTTACCGTGTTTTATGCCTGTAGCAGTCATGCTGCTTTAATTTTGCAGAGCGCGAGACGACACTACGCCAGTTGCGAACGGAAACAGCAAAAGTGGAAGCTGAGAACAACACCATTAAGCGGAATGTAAAGGCTTTAAAAGATTCCGTAGCGGACGCCGAGGGTACTGTTATGCAACAGCAAGAACTCCATAACGAAGTTACAAAAGCTTTTAATACCTCTCTTGGTGCGGTTCTTTCTGCGCTTGGCAGTACCTATCCTCCAGGTATGATATTGATCAGCACTCCTTTCCGTCTGTTTTTGCGCTATTCACATATATCCCACAGTGTTACTATTCAAGAAGATGCAAATGGTAAATGCTCCAGAGTAGTCGTGCATTACTAGCAAAGTAGAAGCCACGATAGAAAGGTTTCTTCATGCTCTTCTTGTGGCATGCTATGGCAAAGTGACTTCTAGTTCTTCAGTTTAGGTTTCTACTAGAACTGCCCTTTATTATTGTATACAGTGCTCCGATTACAGTCGTCCTCTTCACTTTAAATGAAATGTGCTCTGAACTAAAAAAGATTATGTCAGCCATACATCGTGTCCATGCTTACACTTTTGTTTGTCCCTACCTGCTTTCCTGCATGCGACGCCGTAGTATCGGTTCTGATGAGCAGTAAGGTAAATCGAAACTTTTGACTGATGATCACATGTACTATCAACGTTGCGTGCCATCTCAGGGAGAACTTTAATTGTGTGAACATTAAACCTGTAGGCCTAAGGGCCCTTTATTCATTGAATTATTAATATGTGAATTGATTTGTTGGTACTCAAGGTAAAATTTCTCTACTCCTAAAGAATGTTACAGTATCAGTTTGTTCTTATCTGAAAGCATTATTTTGTTGCATTGACGACTGTTGTAAATTCTTTATTTCACGCTGATGGTGCTTAGTGTAATACTGATGGAAGTCACTACACTGGGTTTTACCGCGATGCTGCACTGCACTTGCTTCTACTCGCCTAAGGTGATTGTTTAAGCTGGCCACCGTTTTATGGTATTTAAGAGCTAAGCGTGTGTTAAATTAAGCTACGACTAGTGATTAATGAGTAGAATGTGCTACATTAATATGAATGTGTATTGTTTAGGCGAAATAGTTGTTGATTGCCTCATCGACATTCTTTAAGATTTTTGTACAGTGGTTATCGCATTCATTATTACATGAAGCAAAGTTTAATAAATTCAGCGTAAATAATGGTTATATTCGGTAAGCGATTAACTGATGTTTCAGTTTGCGTATTACGGTGCCTTTCTCAAAGTAGACCTGTTTCTGAAGTAAAATGGTTTCCAATTAGTAAAGCGTTTTATTGTTCTGTACCAGAATCACTGCTTTTCATGTTCGATAACAAGCAACTACGAACAGAATATTCGCTAAAAAATGACGGTGAACTGCTGAGCAGATTTTTCGTTATTAGTTCGTTGAAACTTAGTTTAAGACTTCAGAAATTAAACTGAAACCGCATGTCCGTGTTATGATG